GTATAAGTCATTATAATCCATAATTATGTCCCCACTGGATGCAACAAATGCCTAGTTTATAATGGGTTTTCATGTTTTTGAATCGTCGCTCCGGCCTGATAGGGCATCATCACAATATGGTAAGGGGCGTAACATTTCCGTCTCACGCTTGAGGTATTCGGCCAATCACAACACACTGGATAGCTGGCCAATCAGAGCACACCTCGCTTTTTCAAACCGATGAGTTTTGTAAAAATCTACGTGTTTCAGAAAGGCGGGGCATAGAGGAGAAACAATAATGTACAGTATGTGGAAAATGTGTTTTTTGAACCTTAAACCGCATAAACACATTTCATTACACCAAATACACAAAATACTGTTCTGTTTTAGCAGCATCATATGACCCCTTTAAATGTCAAGCAGAGAAAGAAGTGTTAATAGTGTTAATAGAAGAATCAAAATGTCAATGCGGATTTAAATGCTTGCTCCGGTTTTCTGTGTGATATACACTCTCACCTTATCATCGTCTTCATGATAATCATCTTCATCATCCTCATCTTCTTCCTCTTCCTCAGAGAAACCTTAAACCGCATAAACACAACCAAATACACAAAATACTGTTCTTTTTTAGCAGCATCATATGACCCCTTTAAATGTCAAGCAGAGAAGTGTTAATAGTGTTAGTAGAAGAATCAAAATGTCAATGCGGATTTAAATGCTTGCTCCGGTTTTCTGTGTGATATACACTCTCACCTTATCATCGTCTTCATGATAATCATCTTCATCATCCTCATCTTCTTCCTCTTCCTCAGAGATGTCATCTTCTGGGTACGGCTCCGAGTCATGGTCTACAACTGGTTCCTTCACTTCATCTGGAGGCGTTTCCACTGGGGCAGGTTCCTCAGGCTGGGACTGAGAGAGAATGGAGGAACACAGTCAAAATACATGCTCATGGGCTATTGTGTTCAAGGACAGTGGAATTATAAAAAAAAACAGATTTGTTTTTTTACACCAAAATTTGGGTGCTTTTATTATTGTCAAGCATTAATACAAGTACACATAACAATGCAAGACAAGTTATCAAATTAAAAGACAATTAGAAGTACAAAATATCTAACTACACTACTCTTACATTGTTACAAATGATTTCGATTTCAAATAAATGCTGATAAATAAATTCAGCTTTGCCATCACAGGTATGAACTAAATTTGAAAACATATTGACAGAGAAAACAGTAAGTTTTAATTGCAATAATATTCCACAATATTACTCTTTTTAATGTATTATTGATCAAATAAATGCAACCTTGGGGAGCATAAGAGACTTTTTTTCGAAAACAAAAACAAACAAATCGTAATGATCCCAAAGTTTTAAAAGGCAGCGTAAATAACTAACATTGGTAACAAGGTTGTTGAGCTATTTAATAATTTATCTAAAAGATAAAATGAGGAAACATAATGAGATTATTGATTTTTGTAATTATAGGGAAAATCATGCAAAAGTAGAGATGCATGTATAAATTATGTATGCTTAGTCTAGTTAAAATTAATATTATTTAAAAAAAATGTATACTTTCTATAATGAATTAAGCATATCAATTACAAAATTTTGTTAAATGGCTACTTGTCATACTTAATGTTTTCATTTTCAATGTTAATTTTTGTTATAGATTATCTAATCTTTATCACTTTGATTATTTGTGTCATGATTGTTTTAAAGAAAATTAATATGACAAAGTTCTCAGAAGTCATTCAACATGACATGTCTGCTTCTTCTCTACTAACCTCTGAGTGGT